TTCTCCTTAAATACTACCAAGGCCCAATGTTATTGTGTGGGGCTCAAGAAATTTTAATCCCCACTTTTATATTCTAAAACCCTCTTCCTCTCTTGTATATAAGTTTGTGGTGTGAAAGGTTAGGTTTAAACAATTTGGGAAAATTCTGAGAGCATCTCTATGGAGGAAAAGCTTGAGAGTTAGACCTCCTTAGAGAAGTTCAAAAAATACCACAATTCAAGGTGATGTTCGAGTGTACCATCATTTATTGGCGAAGTTTGATATCTTATAACCCATTATTAACATACAGGAAATTTGATTCTGGACTAGTGTCCCGTGAATTTTCATTTCTTTACGTTGGAGAAGGTTTTCCACATTAAAAATCTGTTGTGTTTATCTCTCGTCTCTCTCCTCTTTCTTTGCTTCTTACATCATTTCAGAATTAATTAATCAATTAAATAATATTCTATTTGGTGGTTATCAATGAGACAAATTTCGGGCATGCATGCCTGATTTTAAGAGGGATGAGTATATAATCATTATAATTATGAAGGCTATGATAATAATAATAAACAATAATGCAAGTTTGTCCAAAAGAATAATGATGACAGGAGCGAATGCGAATATATTGCCTTTCATTATAGGAGCATTTGGGCATAAAAAGAAGGATGGTGTTTGGAATGATGATGAGGGTTGCAAAGTGTTGTTGACCACAGACAAATGAACATGAGATAAGATGCCTTCAAAGACACTACTCACCCGTGTGTCCAATCATGATCTACCAGTCCATTCTGAATTTTGCTCCCTTCCTAGTTTCTACTTTTTTCATACTCGGACTTCATAATTCAGTGTATCAAAAGTTCAAAACATATAAAATTGACATAACAATGATATAACCAAAACAAAGCACATCGATAAATGAATATGCGGCAGGTTTTTTTTTTTTTTTTACATATAAGAATAAACAGTTTTATATTTATTTATTTTTATTGATATACTTTTATCCAGTAATATAAATCAGATCAATAATTAAGATTAATAGTATAACTTATATTGGTGTTTTAAACCGTCCTTCATAGCCCAATATGGGTTGGCCTTTAAGGGCTCATCAATGGATCACTCCCTTACATTCTCATGGTAAGCATATTGATTTTATTGTAAATGATTTCTCGCTCCTTTGCATAACTGACCCAGTACACAATACATGTTGATAGAGCAATTCTTTACTCACAATAGTGAGGTCACGGTCAAAGACTCTTCTCTATTTTATCATTAGTAAATATTTTTCACCTATATATACTTCTCTCCTCAATACGAAGAAGCATCTTGCATCCATTATTTTACGTGATTACTTTGTTGAAATATAGAACTACCATGCTTTTACACATTTCTCCTCTTCTCAATTATATCTGAAAACACAGTTATTGTGTCTTTTCTAGGAACGTTAATTCATACCATTGCCTCTAAGAACACCTTCATAACAACATAAAGAATACAGACCTAGTTCTATTATTATAACCATTTATATATTGTGCTGAGTTATGTATAAAATGTAAACTGTTGATAAAATATTAAGATAACGAAATTTAAAATGTGCACACGTTTTACTGAACAAGCAACCTAGCCTTACAGGAATTCCAAAGTGGCAAGAGAATAAAGCATCTTTGAGTCCTTAACTATACCAAGGGTGAGACATGATATTGCAGGTACACATGATAATGGGTACGCAAGAAAACTGGGCTCTTGTTCTTGTTTTGACTGGTCCTGGCACTGACCCACTGGTATGTATGTACATCAACTCGAGTCCCATAACCACATGCACAAGACACATTCTTACATGGGCTAGAAACTTTATCAGTTAGCGTTAGAATTTTTTGTTAGGGGGAAATTACTATCTTGGCGAGGACATTTTTTCAAGCATAACCTAACCCAACACATTAGGTTCCTATGCCTAATCTTTATGTAACCAAAAAAGTTAGACCTCGCAGAATTTGTCAATGGAAAGTGGTTAATCAAGTTATGTAACTTATCATTCATGGGCTTCCTCTAGCCCTACATTTTTTTACTTAATTTTTCATTTTAAAATAAATAAATAAAAGCTCACTGCAATTATTTAAAGGAGTGATTATGGATCGAATTGGTTCGATTTTAAATAAAAATAAAAACTGAACAAATTTAATTTAATTCAGTTAGGTTGAGTTGAGAAAATTTTCCTTTTATCAACCTAAACCAACCAAACGCAAACTTGATTCGAGTCCGGTCATTCAGTTAACTTTTTTCTTTATTTATTTTAACAAATTCTAATAAAAGGATTTTGTTTCATATTAAAATTATTAAAAAGTGATGAAAATAATATTTTATAAAATATTTCAAAAAATAATTTAAGTTAAATGAATAAATTCAAATTCGATCAAGTTAAAAAAAGTAAATCAAAATCCGATATACAAACCGACTTAAGTTAAGTTGAACAAAAGTCAACCCAAGTCACTCATTTTTTATTGGTTCGAGTCACATGGGTCAGATTATGGGATCAAACTAGACCATGATGAAACCCTTATCAACGTAGGTCAACATTCATCTTGTAACTGAGGTGCATGGACTTGGAATTGGGATCAGGCTCCCTTTCTCATGTCATGGACTATTTTAGGTTAGATTCTAAGACCAATAAAAAGTCACAATTTCTAAAATTGTCTTATGAGAACCCAGACAAATAAAGAACAAATTATAAGGGCGAGTGGGCTTGAATGACCCAAATGAGACCACACACAAGGATATGGCTACTTTTAATGTTGAACCGTATATTTCAAATATTGTCACTATCATTGATAAGTTAAATAATTTATAAAAATAATTATTACTAGTCAAAATTTCGAGGAAGATTATACTTATTACCTATTTTTCTTACTACTTGTTATTACTAAATTTTAATTGTTGATTTCCGTCAATCTAACGATTATAATTTATTACAAATTAATAATTAATTAATAAATATGACCCCAAAAATTATAACCGTTAAATTGACAGAAATCAACAATTAAGATTTGATAGTAACAAGTAATAAAAAAATAGATAGTAAGTATAACCTCTCCCAAAAATTTTAAGCTTATAAAAGATGTAAAATTAAAATACATTTATGAAGGTCTATAGCAATTATTTTTCTTTTACTTCTCTCTATTTTAGTTTATCTCAATCACTTTTGACTTCTTTTTTTAGATACTAATTCGTATCTGAAGTCCTAATATGTCCTATTAATCCAGTTTTAAATTTAAGTCCTCCATCCTCTCCAGAGATTGCAACTCTTAAAAATCAAACGAGGAAGATTATACTTATTACCTATTTTTCTTACTACTTGTTATTACTAAATCTTAATTGTTGATTTCCGTCAATCTAACGATTATAATTTATTACAAATTAATAATTAATTAATAAATATGACCCCAAAAATTATAACCGTTAAATTGACATAAATCAACGGTTAAGATTTGATAGTAACAAGTAATAAAAAAATAGATAATAAGTATAACCTCTCCCAAAAAATTTAAGCTTATAAAAGATGTAAAATTAAAATACATTTACGAAGGTCTATAGCAATTATTTTTCTTTTACTTCTCTCTATTTTAGTTTATCTCAATCACTTTTGACTTCTTTTTTTAGATACTAATTCGTATCCGAAGTCCTAATATGTCCTATTAATCTAGTTTTAAATTTAAGTCCTCCATCCTCTCCAGAGATTGCAACTCTTAAAAATCAAACTCAAAACTCACTATCTTTTGGACATGGTCAAATCCTGAAATCTAGTTGAATTACACCAACAAAAAGTGTCTTTTGACTTCTTTTTTATCTCCCATTTGAAGGGAGATATAAAACGAAGCTTGAATTACTGGTAAATATCCAAAGAGAGGCCCTTGTCTTAAAATCCAAGAAAAATATCGGTATCCCTTTGGTTGGAGTCCAAACAAAGTAATGTCAATCATAAATTTATAACATTGATAAAAAACATGACACAAGATGACTTTGGCAAATTAAGAGCATGTTCCTATTGGTCTAACGCACAATTAGTAGGCCATTTGTATGCAAGAATATCTCCTCCTGAAAGAGCTTGGAATAACTGAACCACAAATACTAAAATTCAAACATATCCAATCCGGGTATGAGCTTAATGGGAAGATCATTTCCATATTGGCAGAAGATGCTTATTAAGCTTAACAAATTGAAGACCATTTGACACAATGATTAGGACAACCATAGTCAACCATCGATCACAGCAGGGTGCCTTGCAGCAAGAAAGTTGACCGTTGGCTTTCAAGAACTAACATTAAGGTTGAGGGATTCTACTATACAAGGTTCTTGGTGGGGCAGGGCAAAAAAGGACCATGGAGTATTAGCATATATGATGGACACTCAAATCACTATTTCAGACTAAAAACAGAGCATCTATTAGCTTACTACATCTATATCTTTTCTAGAAGCACAACCAACATTATTTGAAAATTAATATTATAAAGCCTAGTAATAATATTTTACAGTGCCACAAAGATGGGGTAGTCCTAGAGGAATTGGTTGATTATAGTTGGATTAATACAACATCAGAATCTTAGTGAATGAATTATGGGGTTCTCATACAAATCCCCTTCTAAAAGCATTTTACTGAGACTAGGAAAATGCTTAAACACCAATCAAGATACAAGGTGGTGATCAGACAGAATGAAACAAGGAAACTACACAACCTGACGTAGAAAAACAGATAAGAACAATACTATTGCTTTCTTTACCTCCACGAAATTCATTGCAGGTGAATCAACGGATATCTTAACACTATCAAAAAAATACCAGCAAACATAACGTTATTTCCAACCATTAAATGTTACAACTTTCAAATAATAATGTAGTCATTATATAGAAGCAATACAATCACGCAAATGAGCCTTCTGTTCTATAAATACTAAAATAGCGTACTAGCATGGTCATTCTACAGCAAAATTTAGTTTCCCCTTAAACAAGGATATTCTTATAGTGTAAGGGACAGAATCCTGAGCCTTCCAAAATCATCTTACATCCATAAAAAAAAAAGGCTCGGTTAAAGTGAACTCATCTCTAAATTGCACAACTAAGGGTGTATCTGTGTCACGATGTACTTTGAATCAAATCAAAGGTGATATATCTTGTACACTTTGAACACAAACTCAGTTTATAGGAACTTTTTCCAAAAAGAAAAACATGTAGTAAAACGTGAATACTTTTCATAAATATAAAGCCACACAAAAGCTAGAAGCACTTACATAGGTGTTGGAATATGATTATCTGGAATGTTAAAGGATGGTATAGTAATTAACAAGAATGAAAAAGACTTGAATCAGGTCAAACGTCTTCGCCTTGGAGCACGAGAATCTCCACTATCCACATCATACACTCTTGCAGCATCATTTCTCCTCCTAGAAGAAGATGTTGACAAGGACACCATGGAATCAATTTCTACAGCAGTGTCCACTTGACTCTCTGAATTTATGACAGCACCAATGCTTGAAAAGGAATCCCTGTCTTCAATTGGAGGAGGTTGTTCTTGGTTTCTACCTAATGTATAGCTGCGGAAATAGGCCTCAGCGAACCTTTCAGCAGAACTCAAAGTGGATGAAAGGGTCCCTCTATGTGTTTGTGCTCTTCTACGCAAAAGGGATTGGACCCTGCGGTTATCTTCTACCAAAGGAGTACTACCAACATTGTTTTGTATCGAACCCGCTTCATCATCATGGGGTGCTGCCCCAAGATTATGCTCTCTCCTCAGACCTCTAGCTGCCAAAAACCTACTCAACAAGGAACTAGTTCTCTCTGCTGTTTCCCTTGCATTGTCAAGCTCATTTGGCTGAACAATATCCTGAGTAAGATCAAGTCTGCTACCGAGATGCCGAATCATCTCTTCCATAGGCATAGCAAATGCATTCCTCTGAATGGTTTGTCTTAGAGGATTCGTTGTCGAATCCTCGGAGACATGGCTTGCATTGGGCCTGAGAGGGATTTTCAATGCAAAATCCTCCTCAGTAACTTTGACATTGTTACCTCGACCATATATAGGGGTAATACTCTTAACACTAACCTCTCCCTTGCAAACAGGACATTCCTTAGCATCAGAATGCAAATGCAGCCATCTATAGAGACATGGCCAACAAAACAAATGACCACAACAAGTCACAACAGGATCCCTAGCCAGATCCAAACAAATATTACAATCAAAAAACCCACCAACACTGCCACCACCACCACCACCACCACCACCACCCTTTTCAACATCCTCCTTCTTCAATGTCTCATCCAATGTAAAACCACCACTTCTACTTTCACATACTTTGTGAACCTCCTCCTCAACTCTTTCCTCAGCTGCCACACTACCTTCACCAGCCTGCAACACACTTCCATTGCCAGAATTAACCAAAAACTGATTCATTTCCATTGAGATATTTTCGGGGTTGCGAAAATGGCGCCACCAGGGTTCAGTTTGGATATGGTGGACATTGCCTTCAGGAAGATGATGGCGCCATCGCCAACGTTGTCTGGCTCTACGCCTCACGGCTTCACTGATTCTATGAAAAGGTTCCTCAACCCAATCATCAACCAAGTTCATAGCTTCATTAGCTATGGCACCAGCTAAGGGTTCCGGGCCTGGACCCAGATTCAAATCAAGGTTCATTGCATCAGATGTTTCTTCCCCCATCCCAATTTCAATGCCTCAAGGTATCAAGAACCTTGCTTTGTTACAATTTTTTCTTCAAAAAAAAAAAAAACAAGATTTGGAGGAAGCTGAGACAAAAGGAAACAAAATCAAAAGAGACCCAGGTTTACGGGTTACAAAATTCCAAAGAAAGGTCTCAAATTGGCGACGAAATTGAACATTTAAAATAAATGAGAAATAAACCCTAACTTGGACACAGACATGAAGGAACCAAGCAGTGGAAAAGATTGACCGAAATTAAATGGAAAATACGGTGTGAATTGGTTGGATTCAACTTAATTTGAAGAAGAATTCAATAATTCATGGGAGAATTTGATGATCTTGGAATGAGAAGAGAAGCTAGGTTTCAAGTGTTTGGGAAAAGCAGATAAAAAAGGTTGAAGAGAGAAGAACTTAGAATGGAGTGGTGGGTGTATGTTGTTCAAGTGTTTCCCATTGAAGACAAAGAAAGAGGATGGAGTGAAGTGATAAATGTGCAGTAAGCATAGCCACAGGCGCGCGCACGCACGCACACACACGTAGAGAGAGAGAGAGAGAGACTTCTTCTGCGTTCTGCTTTGGCTGCTGAGAATTGGATACTTTCACATTCTGCGGTCATATTTACGTCCCATCATAGGAGTAAAAGATATTTGACATATTTTTCGAAAAGAGAGATTTTTTTAATATTATAATTATGTTAGTAGAATATATCATTTATAATTTCACCCGGTGTTTAATACGATGGTAGTACTGAAGATATCCTCTACGATTAGGGTCCCGTTATTCAAGTTTTAGGGAGTAAAGATTTTGTGTTACATTCTCTACTCTTTTACAAATTATTAGACTTGACAATTTTTAACATGATTAGTTAACATGATACGAAAAATTCTTACTCACGTTCATTTGTTTTCAAATTCATGTTATGTTTTGTTGATAAAATTTAATACGAAAAAATTTGTGTCGTATCACATGTTAACCTGTGAACTCGAAATTGACTAATGTTAATATTCTTGCAGGTTATTCATGTCGTGTCGTGTCGTAAATTATTTATTTGTGTCTTATCGTGTTGTGTCAACTTACATAATAAGTGACACACTTTGGGGTTGACATATAATTAGAGGTAGCAATATGGGTTGAGTCTGGCGGATCAACCCGCCAACCCGCCAAAACGGGGCGGGTTGGGTTGAGGTTTTCAACCCACCAACCCACTTCAACCCGCCCCGCTTAGAAGTGGGTCAAAATGGATTCAACTCGCCGCGGGGCGGATTCACCCGCCGGGTTATAAATTTGTTTTTTTACAATTAGGCAATATTTCATTTGTTATTAATTTTTTTTTATATCCAAAAAAATAAAGAATAACAATTTTATTTATGACAAATGTTATCTATATATTGAGACAAATAAGTTCCTAAAGAATGTTTGACAAATATTAGTATACATTTAAGATTGAGACTAAAAAAAATTAAGAGAAGTGTAAAATAAAATAAAATAATATTAGAAAAATTTATAAAATATAATTTATTTTTGAATTTTAATTAATTCCTTTTAATTTGTTGGTTGGTGGGTTGACCCGCCAACCCACCATAAAATGGGTGGGAATTCATTTTTTCAGCCCATGTTTAATGGCGGGCCAACCCGCCCGCCTCGTTTTTGACGGGTTGGTGGTAGGGTGGGACGGGCCAACCCAAATTGCCACCCCTACATATAATAACTCAAATAATCAAAATACTGATTGAGTAAAAATACTGATTTTACGGTTAAGTCTCCACTGGGGCAAAATGGTAATTTGATAAAAACTGTCTAGGCTTATAATTAATTGTGTGTGATACACTCCTCGTATGCCCATGAAATTAAGGAATCAAATAAAAAGAGATTAATTAGATGAAAAATCTAATTATATGAATAAAGTCACTTTTTGGGGCAAAAGTGTAAGTATTGAAAGTTTTAGGGTAAAAATGTAATTATGCAAAAATTACCTAAAACTTTGAAATGATGTAGTGAGACCTTATCTAATGATTTTAGTGAAAGTTAAAATACATGTTAGATTATCTAATACATTGATTAGAGGAAAATTATAAATGATTTTATTAAGGGTAAATTGGTCATTTCCTAGTCAAAGTGTTGACCAAAGTCAAAACCACTTAATATGACCAAGACACATCATTTTCCTTCACTTTTCTCTTCTTCCTCTTCGTTGGATAGCACCTAGCTGAGACCTCCATGAGAGCAAGCTCCAAAATTGTAACTTCATGATTAAGCCACCAAAACACTAAGCTTGTGAGACAAGAGTTGCTTAGTTTCCCTAACTAACATAACCCACCAACCATTTACCATTGAGAAGCTTTGTGTGCAGAGAAATCCCCTCCCAAATCGCAGTTCCTTTTTGAGTGAGGAGAGCTTTGCTTTCACATTGATGTGTGTCAAATCTACTATATCTTAAGGGTCAAATTGAGCATTTAATTAATCTAATATTAATCAAAAGACATTAGAATAGTGATTTAATTGTTAATTCATTCTCAGGAGTATTTTCATGAAATTATTGTATTTTTGTAAGAATTTTTGACCCATTAAAGGAAAGAACAAGCTAGAGAACTCAAAGTAAAGAAGAGAAAGCCATTGCTTCACTGCGCTAAAGGCGCCATAGTGGTGCTAGTAGCGCCATAGTGGTGCTTGTAGCGCCAATCCCTTTTTCTTTTTGCGCTAATAGTGCCAGCTACACGTGGTATTCAGATTTGGGTTTTTCAAATTGCATCTGGTGAAAGAATTGCTGAAGATTATTGGATGATTTCATGAAAATTTGAATGGATCTAATTGGGAAAAAGGAAACTTTCCATTGCTTAAGGGAAGATTTTGAATTTTGAATCTAATTCAAGAAAGTTTAATCATGAAGATATGGCAGAGGATTTGATAGGATTTTAAAAAAGATACTTTCCCTCAAAATAAAAAGAGAACTTTTGGAAACAAAAGAGAGGAGATTCATTCTTTCACACACGAAGGAAGAATGCATAGAGTGAGAGAATTTAGAGTTGTGAAGATCAAGGACGAAGATGGGGGGAGATCAAAGCGTCATCGTTGAGATCAACCAACACCCAATCCATATTTTTTTTCTAGTTTTCTTCTATTTTCTTGTTTTGTTTGTGCCAGATATATCTTGCTAATTTTCTTTGTAGTTAAGGATATGGATCCAAATTGAACCTTTATGTTTTGATTTATTTTTTTCAATAATAATATGTCTCAAATTGTTTGTGTTTATCTTGAATTGCTTGTTTAAATTCTTGTATGATTTGGCTAACTATATAGGATTAAAGAGGGTTAGGGTTCACAATAGACATATTGAGATTTAATCTAGACAGGGATAAACACCGATTCTTGCTTGATCTAGACATAGACTGGTAAGAATTGCAAACTTTTATAATTCATTGTGCATAAAGCTTAATCTAAAAAGGGTTTCTAAGATATTAAGATTCCAATTAGGTTAAAGAACTAAGACATTAGAATTTGACCAACTAATTCTTAGATGATGAATTGTTTGAAATAATGGAGATAGAGAGTTATTGAATTGAGTTAAATCACTTAAGGGGGATCAAAGGTGAAGTAAACCTTAACTACGTTTTCTATTCTTGATTTTAAATCCATCTTTAATTATTAGAATTCTTTTCTTGCATTTAATTGTTGTTCGGCATTTGTTCTTTTAATTATTTTCTTTAAAATTGGATTTCTATTATTCTTCTCAAACAAAATTTGATTTGTTCAACTTAAGTGAAAATAGTGAACTAGTGCTTGAAACATTAATCCTTATGAGAACGATACTCTACTCACTTCTTTATTACTTGTGTGTTTAGTATACTTGCCGTGATCGCAACACACACTTGCTTGAGAAGCCTTCCATTGGTGCTTCTAAGGCATTTCTTGGTAAGAAAACTAACCTCCCTTGTAGTTTTCATGGTGATGCAAATTTTAGAGTTTTTGGATGAATAGTGACTAGCATAATGTTTGACTTGAATTTGGCTTGGGTCCCTTTGGAAAAAATGATAAGGAAGTGTGTTTAATGAAGAAAAAACAATGAAACACCATTTGTTTCATTTTCAAAAATTGACTCAAGAACAAAGTAAAGGTTTCTTGTGTTTTGAGTCTTGAGAATGAACATTTATGGTGATTATTGCTTATATGATGTTATAGTGGTGGACCAAGTGAAGTTGTTATGGTAGAGCATCCATTGGAGCAATCAAGGGACCAAATCATGAATTCTTGAGTGATTCAAGAGAAGGGTAAGTCTTTAAACTCGAGACTTGGTGAATGATAAATGCTAGTTTAATCGTTTGATACCTAAATCCTATGACTATGATATAGGAATCTTGGTGATTGTGGTGGAAGATAATCGGAACAACCAATATACCAATCTTAGACTAGGTTGTGGTCTTATAAGTTTGAAGTATTGGTGAGTTACTAAACCCAGACTTCTTGAGAGCCTATAGGCTTTGGTTTGGTTGTAGTATAATATAATATGATATGTGTGATTGATTGTGTTGTCATCCTTTAAATAGGCGTTTCTAGTAGGAAGTAATTGGACTGATACTTTAATCAAGTGTTGAGAGATTCCTTGGGCTTGAAGAAAGCTTGGAAAGGAATAGACTACAAGAGGTAAACCCTTGTTTCTTGGGATTTTATTCCCTTTTGGTTATTCCACCATGGTCCAATGGGACGATGGTTATATGATTGGATATTAGATATGTAGTATAGTTGCATTCATATAGAGATATTTGATTGAATTGTTCTTGGCCAATGAACTTATACATGAACCTTCTTTGGGGCATTTATCCATTAGGACAACCCTTAGAAGTATGTTATCCTTAGGGCATTCATACATTGGTACAACCCTTATGGCTATCATGTATGGAACTTCTTTGGAGCATTTATCCATTAGGACAACCCTTAGAAGTTGACCTTCCTTAGGACATTTATCCATTGGGACAACTCTTGGAATGGTTATGTGTGGAGTCTTCCTTGGGGCATTTATTCGCTGGGACAACCCTTGGAAGATTCGGATTTTGACTATGTCTATATGAATTTATTATACTATGTTATCTAACCTTTCATGCAAGAAGTGAACTCTTAGATGGAGAAATACTCCAAGAACCTAGGCTTTACTGAGATTTGTATCTCACCCCTTTTAGGTACATATTTCAAGTAGTTCAGCAGCCAGAGATGGATCCTCATAAGGAAAGAGGCCCGTGTAAAGTTAGAGGCTCTCATGATTGAGGAGACCAAACAATTATGAATATGTTGTTATTTTGGATGAGTTTGATGGACATACATGTATTTTGTATAGCCTTATATATTGATGAGAACTTATGTAGTTTTTTATTAAGGCTTGTATATATAGCATGTGTTGCCTTTACTTATTTGGATACATGTTGATGTAATTTTAATGTTCATGTGTTGGATTGGTAAATCCTATGATATTTCCATGAATGTTGACAAAAATTATGTAGTGGATGTAGATTATTGGCATAAAGCCTTATATTTAAAATTCATGGATAGATTGTAGGTGTAATCTAGTGGATAGATTGGAAT